AACCCTATACTTCCTAGTTAGAGGAACGGGGAGAGGGGGGGGGGCGGAGACGGGGTCACACGTCGCGTTCGTACTTTTCGAAAATTTCGCGACTTTTCTCGGAAGGGTCATACGATCCCCCACCACCACGCTTGTCGGAGTCACTCACAAATACGATCTCCTCTGCCATCCCCTTCACCTAGCGTGGTTGTTTTTATAGCATTTGACTTGTGTTCAGTTGAAACGCTCCAACAATGTCCCATCCCCTTCGAAACGGCCCCGAACGGAACTCCATAAGTGGGATCACCCGCTCGCTCTTTTAGAAGAGATTCTTATCGTTGGTCTACTTCAAATGCATCCCTCCTGATAGACGTCAATGCGACCCGTGTTCGAACTGTCCGTATGCACGAATGACCCTGATTTGTAACGAACCTCCCCTCCTCTGTCGTCCGTTCACACTCGAGCAAGTACATCGGCTGAACCTTGCAACTATATAGACTCTGCTTCTGAATGCCACTATGATATCTGAAGGGTAGGATTTCCAAGAAGAGAATTGTGAACATCATATGCTCTATCCTTTATCCCTTCTAATGCTACCTAGTGATTGCGCTTTGACATGGAAGAACCATGCAGGGGAGGTCGAATCGTCTCTTTCGAATTAGCAAACAAGTGTTTCTAGAGATTCAAACACAACCGAGTGGGACCAAAGTAAATCCGAGAGGCATTATATTGCATTTACCAATACTAGGATTAAGACACCTACTTGTTATCACAGGTTCCGGGTCTGAATTCTCCATTTTTGACCCAGCGCGGCCAGTGAAGAAGGAGCTAGCCTCAAAACTCCCGAAGTTTATACAAAATTAAGTGGGAAATAAGATTTGTTCCGTTATTTTTCATAAACCGAAACTTTTAGTTGGAGAATGCGTTTTTTTCTCTAGAATGGTGGATCAAATCGGAGTGTTTGCAAGTAATTGTTGTAAAAGACAAAGGTCGGGCTCGATTTGGAGTATTATGGCGCTTAAAACTGAGTGTAGAGATGCGAAGTGGAACGGCAGTGAAGAGCCATTTTGAATGGAATACACGAGTGGTCAGCTGCGTGCACGCTATTCGTCGCAACTCATAACACCACAATATTTGCCACCTCTTCGTCTTCCCCTCCATCTCCCCCTTCTCCTTCAGTGTGGGCTCAAAACATTTCGCACGTCACTCATGCTGTCTGAGGCTGCTGTTCCTAGGACCATGTTTTTCCACATGTTTATTGTGTACAAGTAGG